GAAATACCTAATTAAGAGGACGACAAAATTGTCTTCCGCCCCGGACAGCCGACAACCACGCTATGCCACTGTCAATAGGTTCTCGATTTACTTACTTATCGGTAGTCATGTAGGCATATAGCCAAATAAAGTATTTTACTAAACGTCTGATCATACAATTAAATGTTCAACCAAAACAATAATAACAATGCCTTATAAACATCGTTTTATATATCCATTGCTTTTTAATCAAATTTTCTGAATGATAATTTTATATAATAGTATATAATATATATATATATATATATATATATATAAATAAAAAATAAAAAATATACTTTGATGGGCACCTTAAATATATGTTTGATACGGTAATATGAATCACAAACGTTTGGAGATAATAATACACATCAAATGTATATAATTACGTGTTTATGAGGTTTCTATTCGTACCGGCTATATCTAGGTGTACAATATCGGTATACTCGTTAAGAAATCCATCATTTGCAGTAACGTATAATATCAATAAAATAATTGAAATATTTGTAATCGCGGATAGTAGAAATAAGTCATTAAGTGTAAATGAACAAACAGGACCCACGTCATTGTCTTTTAATAATTATATGGACCATATCATCAGTGCCGTTAAAGGTTCAGGTTAGCGTAATGGTGATATTAGTATAGCTTTCAGAATGGTATTTAGGTCATTGTAAACATTACAGCTCGGTATTGTTATTCAAAAGCCTAAGATATTCCGAATTATTCAACCTGCAGACTATCCTTGAGAATCTAATAACTTAAGTTCAAATAGTAAGTGAAAATTTACAATTAGTGAATAGATTATTTAATTATTTATTTATTTAAACGGCTAATAATGGTCTAACCTAAAAGCATATATTAAATTAAAATGTTAATAATTCACAATTGCATTAAAATATACATATGTATTAATTGTATACAAACATTGCATTTCAGTTATAGGTCAACGGTTCTTTATTTTACAAACACTTCATGTAGCATTTTATCAAACAATTAAAATCCACTGTAATTATGACAATAATGATAATTAAGTAAATTCCTATATGTTTAAACCAGTGGCGTACCTGTGGGGGGGGACAACAGGGATATTTGCCACACACACCCCCCCTCCAAGAAGTTTTTTGATGCTATAATGCAAATTAACTGTTCAGCTTAAATAATGTAAATTATAAATATTGTTAATTTTCACTCATTTTAATCGTGTTTGATATCAAAAGTTTTTGATATCACTTATCAATGTAATAAAATTTTAATATTCGACCGAATTGGGATTAGGAGTGATGGTCACATATAGTCACTATTTTATAATGTGGTTATCATTGACATCAAGTGATCAACATGAGTTTTAAGTATTTATTAATAATTTATAATAAAGTTTCAGATTATATTATAACCATAAAGAATTGTACACTTAATTTATGCCCTTCCCCCCCCCCCCCCCCCTTCAAAATGTTTCACAGGTACGCCACTGGTTTAAACTGTCATCGTTTCAAAAACTTATATACCGTACAGTTTTTTCGGATTGTAAAATATTTTTACAATACTAATAGATAATAAAAATAATTAATCATTTATTTATACCAGTAAAATAATATCTTGCGATTTATTTTATACTAATTCAAAAGAAGCAATTAATCTGTGAACGTTTTAAGTCTATAAAATAAAGAGTTATAAAATTATTAATGTCCTGTGTATAATATTTAAATACTAGATTATCAGTGGTCGACGAAATATTTACTGTACATTTTACAATCAAATTATCTTTTACTTAAGCTTACAATCCTATTTTGAACTAAACGCAATACTTACATTTTGAAAAATACTACCCAAGTTAATTTCGATTGAAAATTTAATTTTTGATTTACATGTGGTATTTTAAAGTGGCCATATTTCAAATATCTCAATAGCTTACAAACTACAGACAAATCAGGAACAAATATTGAAATATCAGCAAAATATGATAATAATTTTATGTTTAATGACTTGAATGGTTCTCGGATTAATTGCCACTTTTGAATTCCCAAACAAGATTAAATAAGATTCGTTTTTAACAATACAATATTGAATTTTGAAAATTTGCAAATCAAATTTATAGATTTTTATAATTAACATATGTTATTTGTGCTATAATTATAATACTTAAAATCAATATTTTTTCTGTTTAATAACAATCATACAAAAAAAATTAACTCGGCTATGATTAAAGATGACATGTACCTAAATATTAAAATTAAGTTGTTATGTATATTGATATATGATTACTAAAACAATTTTTTTGGAATTCTTAATGTTGTGTCGTTGCATTAATATAAATGCAATGATCAAACGTTAATTAGTATAATTACAGTTTATAATTATGAATAGTAATAACATGTTTATTGTGTATAAGGCGTAAGTAAACTGAATGTCGTGAGAGGCACACATTATTAAACATTATTTAATACGTAACACTTAAATTTATTATATTTCTTTTATAAATAATGTTCGCTGTATTTTGTAAAAATACAGAATTTGTTTTATTAAAATTTGAAAGTTTTTAATAAAGTTTTAAAAGTTTTAACATTACTGATTAGTGCTAACAATTTCATTATTATTTTTGTATTTTATGTTATTTATAGTAGTTTTCAATGAGACATCTTAAAAACATACCTAGTTCAAAGACTTTTAAAATAATTGAAAGCGAATGATAATTAAAATAATTATAAAAATAAATAATTGTATTGTTATTATTTTTATTATATTTCATTCACCGAAGAGCAATCAAGCACTAGCTTTTCGTTTAGTTTATTTCAAAATTCTTGGAATAACAGTGCAAAAATAGTATTTTAGTTTCCAACACGAGAATTATAACATTCCAAAAACAATTATTATTCTGAACATAGGTTTTCAAAAATGTTACAAATTTGATTCGAAATGATGATCTTTCACATATTTTATTTACTTTTACCGTCACTCTTCATAACCCCCTGATCTATGGGTCTTCGTGATGTTATCAAATACTATTAGAAAATTCGAAAGATTTTATTTTCATAGTGCACAATCTACGTTCAAATCCTTATTTATATAGAAATATCACGTGCAACTTTTTGAGGGGCTTACTTATTTAAAAAGCGTTTACTGGAGGGAAAAGCTAGCACACAATGTTGTACTACCTGCAGTAAGTCGATCGAACAAAAATCTAAAACAATTGAAAAATAATATAATTGAATTTCGTTCAATATATACGGATAAAGGTACATATATACAATTTTAATGTAATCAAATAAATATTGCTATAGTTATAATCAGGGGAGTATTTATATATTAGTAATTTTTGTAGTAATAGGTTCTTCCTTCCTTCCCTTCCCCCCAAAAATCAAGTACATAATCGGCCCCCTCCGAAATGAAAACCTATATACGCCACTGAAGTTTTAATTGTATAAGACTATGGATACTCTTTATAATTACGGTTTTAAATTTCACTTTCCTTTTTATACTTATATACTTAAAGTTATAATCATGTACGTAGACTATATTTCTGACGAAGCACATAATCGTATCAAACGTACATGTTGAAATCTTAATTTTCTTTTTGCTATTTGAATCATTTATTATTTTCAATTGCTGTGGTTTAACATTTATAAACAAAAAAATATAACTCTTTGAAAATATGTATTTTTTAAGTTCTAACGTTCATTAAAGTTCATTAAAATATTTAATTTTCTTACGCGAGGTTGGAGATTGAACTGATTAAATAATTGCAATTCTTGTTTCGACATTTTTAATGTGGAGTTTCACTCAAAATGTGATTCAAACATTCATATAATTTAAAAAATGAGATAGTTTTCTGTATATAACATTGCAATATATTTTATGTAATAATTGATGGGAAACTTAATGAACATTTGTTTATATTTTTACAAAGAAATGTAGCAATAAAACCAACTTTTTACCAATAATTTATTATTATTTTTTGATTGAAGGGAAGAATATTGGTTTTCTTCAATTATTCTGTACGGAATGTTTTTTTATGTTATTTATATTTTCTTGTTTTAATATAAAAACATCTATTGTGTAAGAAAATTTCAAAGAATATTATTATTGTTTGTTCAACTATCTGTACTTCCGTATTAATCAAATACCCTGTGCACGATTCGATGGTAAATTTGGGGTGATCGAAAACTCTTTTTACAAAATCAAATTCATCTACAAAATTTTGCGAGCTTCTAGTATCTAAATGACATTTGAATCGTTAAAACTTCAGGGACGTAAAAACTTTTTCATGTTACGAGATCCTTTATTACTTGTTTCTTCGATTCGACTGCTTTAGCGAATAATATATTTTGCAAGAAGTAAACGCAATTATAGTAGAATAATAAGTAGAGGTTGGATAGATATTACTTTTGCATTTGTTTTTCTTTATTGTCATGTGATTAAAACACTTACCCGAAATGTCTGTAATTCTTTCATTTTTCAACGTCAATTATGATTTAAAATGTTATGTAAATGTTCAAATTTATTCGTATCAACATTGTGGTGATATCGATTTATATTTCTCACTTGATTAGGTATATTATATTTGCATATACTAAGTATCGTTTCTTTTGATGTTCATGCTCAAATAGTGTTTGTTTTTTTCTACGTATAAAAATCACACATCAAATTAGTACGTTGATGCTAATCGATTTTATAGCTATGGAATATGGATGGACATACGTTTGGCCATCGAAACGCGTGTGCAGATGCATAGATTATCTCTGCGACGAGGTTGTATGTATACTTTAGAGTTGTTCTATTGGTTATTGGACCGTACACGGGAACGTCGTATTGCACTGGATAAAGTTTGTTCTTTTCCCACGCGCACGTTAAATATTGTGTACATACTCATAAAATGCTTTTAGTGAACAGCTATTCGTGCCATGCGATTAACGTGAACGTGCGTTTAAAACCGTTTGGTACATAAAACGGCGTGCATATATTATGATACGGCGTCTGTGAACGCGTACATTGTAATTGCACGTTACGAAATATCAAAACGGTTTACGCGCGATAAAAGACGAAAATTGAATCGTGTACAGTTTATTTGCACATATCGTAGTACGTTTATTTATGTAGTGCGGTACCTGTGTGCGGGATTCGGCGGGACTGCGAGGGACGCGTTACACCGGTGCTTCGACCACAGTTCGAGGATACACCAGGGCCGTAACGCATCGTTGTAAACATTTCGAATCGTGAAACAACACTAATAGTCAAGGAGATCTCATATGGTTATAATCTATAATGATAAACTATAGTTTTTGTGATTTTCTTTTTTCTTTTTTTTTTTTTTTTGACGATTACAAAAACCATATTTTCGCGCGATTACATACAGTGCTTTTGCCGTGGCGCAGGTTGTAGTCGTTAAATTTCTCTTCGAATTATTAATATTATAAATGTTACATCGATCATTATTTTTTAATATATTTTATTAGGTAGTGAATATTTATAATTCTATTGTTATGATAATATTTGCGATATCATATATATGTATATTGCACGAGCACAAGTACTGTTTATAAGTGTTTATAAGTGCAACCCTTTTTTTGGTTTTTTTGTTTTCCAGTGAACATGAATGTCGACGGAAACGTAGAACATGTTGTTAACAGCCCTTTAGTTTTGAACTCTGAAGTGTGCGACCCAGGAAAATGTCAAGTCGGTGAAATGGAAGGCTTGTGCATTAGCGGTGAATCGTGTTTCAAACACGGCGGCCAGATCGGAAACCCTTGCAACGGATCGAGTAATCTGTTTTGTTGTACATGTCAGTACCTATTAATATATATACAAAGTATTTCTATTTCAGTCGTACACACGTTTGCACCGATATGAATAAATTTACCTGTCGTAAGTTTGAGCCGTTTGGGAAATGCTACTTTTTGCGAGGGGTGAAAATATCTACAATTACTCCCTTCGCATGCGAGAAAATTTATTTTAAATTAGTTTTTGTTTCTTTAATTATTTTCAAATATTCTATCATCTGTCTACAGATTCTATCTAATACCTCACTGTATCACTTACCACCAAATACTGTTAACTATTAATAATATCCACAACTGGTGTGATTGTACAATTATAATGGCGATTAATCGGATTTCACGGAAAACGTAAAAAAAATTCAAAGTATTAAACATAAAGCCATGATATTTATTATTGAGTGTATTGCCAATTTTTAGGAGAGTTTCTTTTATTTTATAAATTTCAAGAATTTTGATTGATATAAAGATAAGAATTCTTAAGAATCCATTGCACTAATAAAAATTGTGTTCTCATTTTTTTTTTCGTTGGAAAGATATAACTTTATTTGGTCAACATGTATCTATTAGATATATTAAATGTATATGGTATATATAAAAAAAAAAATAAACAAAATTACATATATACTTCTTTTAATATCTTATTAAATTATTTTCAAGTATCCAAAAATTTACTTTTGATAAAAAAAAAACAAATAATTTCAAACGTGTTAACCAATCAAAATGCCTATATTTTTCATAAAAAAACAAAATTTTCCAAATGTCTTTTTGTCTCTTTTGGCCTGAATTACAAGATCTCCACGTTCATTGGTACAACAATCTATACTGTATTCACTCAATTTCTATGTTTTTCTGTTTCTTCTACATTATTAATTCTTACAATCTTAGAACGATTTGTAATGACCACCGTTTTGTTGTTTGTTCGACCGGTCTTTTTAATCTCCACACACGTATTCAAACTAGTTAATTTTGTGCTGATTATTCACTATTACTACTATTGACTATTCATGTAAATTTTTCAGCTCTTATTTTATTCTTAATTATCCTTTATCATATAAATATACACATGATATATACACCTATATTATATAAATGTAAATTGTAAGATTAATATTTTTGTTTTTTTGTTTTTTTTTTTCATACGATCATACTATCATACAGTTTTATTAACATGCGGTGACGTCTCTAATCAAAAAATTACCTACTTGCAATCCCCTGATAATCTGAAGACTGATACTGGGAGTTTGGCATGCGATTACGATTTGATTGTGCAAAAAGATACGTGTGCTGTTCGGTAAATTCACTTTTTAATTATACGACTAATTCGTCTTTCTGAAAATTGTATAATGGGCAATTAAATAATAATAATGAGGTATGAAAATAATGAAGAAAGAAACTCAGCATATATAAAAAGTAATTGAAATTAAAGAAAAATGCAAGAAGAAGAAATAATTTAGAGCATTTATCTAATTTCACTGTATTTTATATCATCGTAATGCAAGCAGTAATTAAGATTTTCATTCATACAATATTATTAGCAATAATCGTTTATTATAAGTTTGCTGTTCATTGTGTGTTTTTAAAATTTTAAGTGTTCATAAAAATTAATTGAGGTTCACGATTTTTTATAAACTTGAATTATGGTTTTCTTAGTTTAAGGTAAATTTGTTATTGAAATTATATGTCTTGATGTATTCAATATAGAAAAAAAAACAGAAAAAAACAACATTAACGCTGTTTGGAGAACTTAATATCTGTCACTGTAATTTAAACTTTAAATCACTTTAAAAAAAAAAAGTTTTAAAACAATTTACATTACCTCGTTGCTTGGAGTTCACAATTCAAAAATATAACGTCCTAACTATATAATTAGTCCGAAATGTATAAAATAAAAAAAAACACTTGCGAAATTATTGTTGAATACATATAGAGCGCTATAATTCAATTTAAATTGTAATTTTCGAATGCTTAACTTATATACGTAGGTAATGGACATTATATCATCTAAAAAGAAAAAGAAAATAATAAAATGTAAAATTAAAATTAAAAATTATTAAATGATTAATACTTGTAAATTATTAAATAATTATTAAAAGAGTAATCATTTTATTTCATTGATTTCTAAATCAGTGGCGTGCATATTTTATTTTATGACGTTATTCATTTTTTATTGGCTCAACATTTTTTACTTTTAAACTCCGCATCCATGACATTACACACATTTTAAATTACACATCTACTTGGTATCACTTATTATGAACGATCCATTTTCAGTATAATAATTTATAAAAATTTGAAAAGTCTAAATATATATTTATTTTTTTTAAATATACAACGATTTATTCTTACACTAAAAAATTGAAATATATATATATATATATATTTGAAATAATATGAAATATATATATATACACGAAGACAGAATGTACTTAAACTCTTTGTTAGTTACCTTATTTGAACAATAATAGTCGCCAGAGGTAATATATGAGGTGAATAAATTTGTAAAATTTATAAATTAGTACATTATATTTATTATGAACCCTAATATCATAACTGAAGAAAGGGTGAAAAAATAATAAATAATAACTTAATTATCTTTTCATCATAATATTTTAATTCTCAATAAGTAACTTTTTAAGCATAAAAATGTTTAAGAATACATAAAGTGTAACAATAAGTATTTAAACAATTATAGTTGAATCATAAAATTATAAAAAAAAAAAAAAAAAACGAAAGCCATAAAAATGTCTCTTACTTATATTAATAAATAAATTAATAATATAAATTTGAATAACTTAACTCAGTAATTTAAAATTACTAATAATTATAACATATATTAATAATATATAATTTTAATTAATAAGTCTAGTGATATAACAGTAATTCAATAGAATTAATTTTAACTTTAATTTTATTTTATTCCAAATTTCCATAAGCATTTAAACAATCCAGACAATTTTTTTTTAAAACAAAAATAGTCACTTAGGGTAAAATATTTCCACTTTGATTGTTTATAATTTTATACTACTCTGGTAATGATAAAAATCACATAATCGTATTAATACTTTGATCACTAATGATATCACGGTGGTTGGAGTGCTTATTTTTTTTACCTCAAAACATACAAACGTTTTTAATACGTCTGGTTATTAAAATATACCGTGGTGACTAACGATGGGTTAAAAAAAAGTATTCGTCGCAAGCTTATTAATATTAATTACATGCGTGCATATACACATATTAATACCAACTTACATTACAATGATCCGAATCAATCGTTTCTAAAAAGTCGACCGTGACAAACTTGGACTTTAGTTCAACTTTAAACCTACATTGATCATCGCATTTTTTTTTTATTTCGTTGCTATCTACGTAATCGGGTTGCATACTTCTTTGTAACAATGTTGACTTTTAGTATGCACGTCATAACCTTATTATTATACAACATCGTAATGTTACATTATTGTTGGGGACGTCATTTTACGCATTGTTCCGCGGCATGTGAACGAAACCCGTGATCGATACGGAAAACAGCTCTTTTCGTCCGGTTATCCTATGAGAAAAATTATGAAACATAAATTTGCTTTGGTATTATAAAAAAGCAAAACAAAACTATGCGGGATATAAAATGCGCAACTATACTTCTCAAGAATGACATTATGTACTCTTCGTAATGAGAACAAGCGAATAAATTATTCTATATTCAAATGTATCATCCTTGTAAGACGAGGAAAGTTTTAGACAACTCAAATACCGTTTTAATTTGTATAAAATAGACATTCGGTATACGCATTCGTCTCTTTGTAAATACACATATTTTACACAAAAAAAACAAGTTAATAATGATTTTATATTATTTACCATTTTTAAGAGTGGATTACGAAAAAGTGAATCTCGCCAGTAAAATAGGAGGAGTATGCGATATCGATCAGGTTTACATTTTGAACTCCAACGACGGGCCAACAAGCGGTCAGTGCGGAGCATTAAGCGGTTACAGTAGTAAGCATTAGCACATAATATTATATTATTATCATAATGTGTGAACGCATCAGGCGAAATACGGAATGAAACTGAATGAACGCAAATAGATGGGGCACTTGAAGGGGTCAGGGTCTCCTAAAACTGTTCATACAGTATTAAGTACTCTTAGTACGAGTGTTTTGCCACATTGGTGAGATTTACATATTCTCAATATTGTATGCCGGCATATACGAGTGGACTTGGTATTGATTGTCGACGTGTATAGCGTTCCATAACACGTGAGAATTCAAAAGACAGGAATTTGGTATTGATATTAAAATATCCGACCCTGCACTCTTCACCTCTATCAAACACTCACACACAAAATTAAATTATATGAGCGATTGTAAGCTCGGCCCAAAAAAAAAACCCGTTCAAAATGTTTACCGTGAACTCGGCTCCATTTTCTTTCCATGTAAAAATGATTGATATGTAAACTTGGCTCAAACAAATAAAATATATCTGATCTTCTCACACCTAATTAATGTTTACCTCATAATATTTTTAAGATTCATTTAGCATTACTCAGAGGATACCATGAAGAGGCAATTTTCATTATAATAATAATTTATTTGAATTTCATTCCATAAATTTACAAAATATAAATATTTTAATAAGAATTTTGGAATGACGATGTCTCCAAAAACCAAAGCTTGTATAGAAGACACAGAGTTCTATGCTTAATAATTATTCTGTTTCATTTTCATACATGTTATTAAAATATATGAATATTCATTATAAGAGAATTACATTATTTAAATGTTAACGTGAAAATATTTATTATGCATCCATACATTTTAATATTTCGCCAATTATTTTTATTACCATTATCTGACATTTTTTGTCCAGGCTTACAACAAAAAATGTTATCATGAGTACAGTTTACAATTGCCCAATTTAACTATAGTTTTATTTTTATATGAATTTTTAAGTTACGTTTCGTTTGGTTTTCCTGATGTACGGTGTATTGATACCCATTTTGATAAGTATATACGGACTGACTTTTAAGAAATTAATTACTTTTTCAGCCGTCGTCGCCGTGAAACCAAATCAAGAAAAACCTTTGAAAATAGCAATAGTCGTGCAAAGCGAACCGGCCGAATATTGGTTGATCAAAGTCTCGCAAATAAGTTGTGCCGAAATAAAACCATTCAAAGGTAAGAAACAACACACAATTTACAGCTGCAACTTTTCTAACGATCATATTTTCGTGGTTATATATTCGTCCCTAGAGAGTACTACTACTATATATATATATATATAAATATTATACGATGCTACAGAAACCTCGCAAAAATGGTTATCTGGTATTTTTTCCTTCTCCTTTCTTTAAAATAAAACCTTATAAATCAGTAAAGGAACAACATATTATATCACTCGGAAACGCAAAAAGGAATAAATATAAATAAATACGACTAGCAGTCATATGTTGATACAGTGATATGATTAGTCGGACGACAGTCACACCGTGTGGTTATTTTATTTTATTTATTTTAAATTATTTATCATTTTTATAAAAAAAAACTGATGATTTGTTTTATATGTATATATACATATTTTATAAATGAACTGCATATTATAAAAATGTTTGATTATTTATTCAGGGTTTTTGAAACATCAATTTTCTGACCCAATTAATTCTTATTCTTCTTAAAAAACATTTATAAATACCTCAGTTTACAACTCCAGAATAGATACTGAAAAATATTTTATAATGATTCATAGTAATTTTATTTGAATACAATATATCGTATATTATAAATGTAACTAGATAAAATATTTATATATTAGTTAACTAATGTTCATGAACTCATTAATTTATTTTTTCCCTAGTTTTGAATTGGCGTTCCTTCTAAACATTAAATTGATCAAATTTTAATTTAAAATTGGATATAAATAATTGAAAATAACCTTATATGAATCATTAGGTGAATGAATCATTTACAATGATCATCATATAAGTATCAATAATTTTAATTATGCATGATGAAATTATATATTATAAAATATTTTTATATAAGAACTTACTTTAAGGAAATATAATACAATTTAAAGTTATATTTAAAAGTTTGTAATTCGATAAAAATGATTAATGATTATACTTAAAAATGTATTGATAGGTACTTGTTTAATCCATTTATTATTTAGACTTAAAATTTCCCTATGCTACATATCAATAATAGTTAAAAAATAACTGTAGTAATATACTACAATCGACTCTCAATAATTTGAAACCTTCGATAATTCTAAGTAAATGCTTGGTCCCTTGAAAATCACACGGTAATTCGAATAAAAACAATGCATTTAAGTTCACTCGGTAATTCAAAATTAAATTTTGGGAAAACTTGCAACCAACACGTACAATGCGAAGTATTATCCGTTAAACGCTCGGAAATTTTAAGTATATTCAGCAAATTTATTTGTATTCTTATAATTATTTTGTTAATAATTTACTATACAATCGTTTAGAAATTTAGCGTATTATTTTCGATAATTATAGAATTAATATTATAAGAACTTTATCGTTTTATTTCTTAATCGTCACTAATCGTAATTTATCTCTTCGATAGCCGTCAGTCGAATGTAGTTTTATTTTAATTTCGTTTGGTCATTTGCAAAAGTATTGTGATGAGTGCGTCAAATTCAAAAAATACTATTGAAAAAATTAAACTAAATTCAATGAAGCAGAAAACCATTACAGATTTCTTCAAGAAATAATAATTTTTTATAATAATAATAATTTACATAATGTAATTACAATATAGTTAAAATTTACATTTTAAAAACAAAAAATAACTAATACTACCTAATTTGCTGAAATATTTAATAATTATATACAATAATAAAAAACAAAATTTTTCTCTTAACTTAGTAATTCGAATTTTTTTTTTTTTTGCTCTCTCGTTTTTTCGAACTACTCAACACCTTGAACTCTAAGTAATTCGAAATTTTTCAACAGTCCCGTCAACTTCGAGCTATCGAGAATCGATTGTACCTATGTACAGATTTATCTACAGAACCATTGAACGAGTAGAAAAAAATTGGGTATAAAAAATACACATTTACTTTTGGGGATTAGCTAATTCATGACGAACTATCCAATTAGTTTTCGAAACAGAACTAAATAGTTTTACAACCATTCATTAGCTGAATTAGTTGTCTGATCAGTTTATTCGCCAGATTTTTTTATCAATCAGGAGTGATAGAATCGTTTGTTTCCATTTAACATTTTAGTCATTTTATGGGGTTTAATAAGTTCAATATTTCAATTCCTTGAATAAATAACTTCATAATATAAATTACATAATATATATTAAAGATATTGTAAAATTTCATAACTGAAAATATTGATAGTTAATAATTGATATGATTTGAAGTTAAAATGGATGATGATAATAAAATACCGTAGCGCTAACGCTAAATTCAAACGAGCCAATGAGATCGGCATACGGCGCTGGGGCTCTAGTGGTTTTGTTAACACGCATACGGGGCACCGACGAATAAAAATAACCATGCAAAAATAATAATTCTTCCCCGTCCATGGTACGAATATATTATTTGTTTACATAGTTTACATATGTATAGGCACATACATTTGTAAGTCGTGCGACTGTCTTACACTGTACAGCGGTATATATTTCCGACGATAAAAACGGCCGGGAAAGTTTCCATTTGAAAAGTTCCCCGACGGCGCACAGAAAACAAAATCATAAATTATTATTTTACCACTTTTAACGGTCATACTAATGTTTTATATAACTAAACCCGCATTAGTTTTGGGGTAAGTTTACGGTGCAAGTTTAAATAAATCTTACGCCGACCGCGTATAATTCTTCTGCCATCGGGTATTGACCGTATACAAGAACTCATTAAAAGGATCTACACGAGCAGGAGCCAAATCGGGGGCACCTCATCGGCAGAGGTTAAATTCGTTGATATCCAATTGGACTCTCTTTAGCTATTCAGACGCGCTATTCATCGAGAGTATCGATTACCTCGTAAACAATATTAATTTTCGTGAACGTAATCAGTCGAAAAATTTTAATTGCATTTTTAATGCTCTAAAATTCTACGTTATATTATTCTTTAAAAGCTGTGCGTAGCAGACCGGTCGGCCAAAAATTCTCGGACGAGACGAACGGCCGCATTCCTGGCCCTTCGAAGCGCCCCGTCGATTTTGTGTTCGAAGTTCAATCAGCGAGCGCGCGAAGCCCGTAAAACTGTGATAAAAAGCGCATTTCATCGGCTTCGTCGAATGCGCGCACGCGAATAATGTAATCGAACGCCACACGCTTTCTGCTCCGGGCAGGTTCGCGTACGCATGTGCACGTTGTATATTTGATTTTGTTTTTCCATTAGCGTGCTCTTGTTAGCTTTCCCGATCGGAGTTTATCGCAATTATTCGGTGCGCGCCGCACCGCGGCACGGAAACGGTTCGGTGCGATGTGTGCACGACGTTGTGAGGAACGCCGCCAACCTCAGCGGTTCACGTTGTTATTTTATGTTCGCACTCGGACGTGCGCTGCGGATACACGTCTAATCAATGCCGATCGGACATCGAAAGAGCGAAACTGTGTTACACATTGCTAGTCATTTTCGCGTTAGTCAACAAAAAACAATGTCATAAAAACACTGTCTAACGCCGTTTTGCTCTTTTGGCGTGCGATCGGCCTAATATTCAGAAGTCGTTGTTACGCGAGATTATGATTTACGATTCCCGGGTGCGGTGTGTTTTGCCGGCCATAATATTTGCGCGATTAAATAAAACGGGTGTGTGTGGGTGCTAGGTGTGCGTGGGTGGTGTGTGTGTGAGTGTGGGTGTGTGTGGGGGGGGGGTGTCGGCGAGCATAAATATTTCGCGTTCGTTAAGTTGCACCCAACATTATTACAATGGTTTCGCACAGCGCATAATTTCTGCTGAAAAATCGTTCGCCATCAACATAATTAATGTGAGCGCGCACTTAAATCGCGTGATTAAGAAGAACGTTTAGAGAAACGTTTTCATGGCTTACTCAGATAATTTTGTAACAAGTTCGTGTTACACGGAAATTGTTATTAATTATTCCGAAAACATCGAGTTTTTAATTCGGAGTATCGCTGCGCATACTTCCATAACGTACACACACCAACAATACACTCGTACATTGTAAATAGAAAAAAACGGTATAACGCGGCTTATTTTCTTACTGGGAACAAGTATACTTATATTAAAAAAAAAAAAAAAAAATCCGTATCGTTATTTTCTCTTTAATTTACCATCCGATCAAACCGATCGGGTTTAACGGGGTCTTATTTTTTTATTGAAAATCAAGAAGTAAATTCCATAGACTAAAAATCCGATTTTCTTTATTATTTCCTAAACACCCGAGGATTCTGAACTCATTTTTATCGAGATTTCGATAAAACTATTTGGTCTGTGGAAAAAAAAATAATCTATCCAGAAAAATAACTACATTTATATCAATAATATTTTTCTTTATTAAAATTACAATATAACAGTTGTTGAAATCTATTCAAACGGCGGTGCATAAAAAACGAGCAACCAATAAATTGAATAATTTATTAAACATCGTATGGTGTTATAGATGTGAAAAAATTTCTATATGGATTTTTAATGACTTGTTTTATTTCCTTAATCATTTTTTTTTTTAATATAGTGATATTTATCTATCTATTATATATATATCTGTTTGGTACAAATCTTTGTACAAACAAAATTTTCTTAGCATAAGAATTATGTATACTCATATAAATACATCTAATATGTATAATACACGTGGTATAATGTTAAAAAGTGCATTAGCTTTTTCGACGACCAACGTCGATTGTAGCTATAAAAATGTAATTGAATCAATGGCTAATTTATCTTTAATCTGTTTGCCATCTTCAAAATATTACTTTCGCTAAAAGCGTAATAATTTTTAAAAATGTTTTTCCTCTTTATTACTTATAGTATTGTTGTTATGAGCGTGGTTGAGTTATGATTCCAACCAACTCTCAAAGATGCCGCCGATGCTGCTCTAGGATTTTCATCTTTAAAGTTAGCCCGACCGTAAATACTATAATACGGGATGCCCCGCTAAGATTTATTATATTATTAAAGTGATAGGAGTAATTCAAACTCCATTACCTCCACCACTTAAAATTAATAATTTCT